AACCACTATCGGCGACAGGAACACCTGGGAAGAGACGAAGAGTGAAGAGAAGGAGGAATGATGAGAACGATTTTCTCCGGTCAAGCAGTAGACCACGAGAAGCCCCTCAGCCTCTAGGATGTCAAGCGCCGCGCAGAGATCACTCACAGGACCACAGAGACTCCAGTCATCTAGATACCAGACGTTCATGAGGAGACCTAGAACATCACGATTGATCTGCTCGAGAATAGGTTGCAGGGCGAGGGGGAAACCCAACGGGCCCAGTGGGTCACATTTCTGGACCCCGCAGCAGCTGCGATTTATGTCGTCGCCGAAATGTAGAAGAGGCTGGATACCATAGCAACATTCAAGCCAGGCTGACATGGAGAGGATACGAGACCGAGCCTCAACAAACATACACTTGCGATCTATGGAGTTAAAAGCATTGGAGATGTCAACTAGGAGGAAACAGCGAGAGCATCGACGGAGGAGGGAGCAAAACCTGCAGAAGAGAGAGAGATTGAATGGCTTACCTAAATTGCCCATCTTTAACAGCCCTACGAGCGTTAGCTGACCGCATTGATTCGTGAGAGGCGGGGTTAGACCGGAACTTTATTAGATTCCAGAGAAGCCGCTCGTTCTCCTCTCTGACCTCTCACCAGAGGGATAACCACCCCCCAGACCTCCACTTGGCAATACGTGCTTGGACCAGCTTTAAAGTATCACGCAAATGTGAACGACCCCCCCTAGGGGGACTGGCGAGGATACATCTAGCCAATAGAAAGAATTTCATCCACGGCACACATCACCAACAAGACCAGCCCAAGCATCCTTCAGAACATGACGGAGGGTAGAGACACACAGACTAAAGATGGTGTCCAGAGAATGGGGAGATGGGAAGAAAATTGTATGTTTATTTATTGCTTGAACTCATTCACTATGTGTCATAGGTAAATCCTTTTGGTCAAAAATGTTGTAAATTTACACACTTCTAGAAACGTCAACAAAACTTGCACTATTGCGAACTTTGACCTGGTAGGCGGGCGGCATTGCGACATTATCTCGTAAAAACCATCCATGTATCCTCAGAAGTGGTCAGTCGCACTTGGCACTTGGATGTGGTGGTCAGAGCTTTGATGCTGCTTTCATCTACCCTTTGGAGTTTCGTGTCTTTGGTGGTTTAATTACCCAGGTCTCCTCCTACATACATACTGAGTGAGAGTATACTGTGCCATAGCACAGTGGTTTGAGGTTTGCCTTTGTGTTGAAGATTTGAACCCCTACCGGCTGAATTACCCTGGTAGCTCAGTTGGTAGAGCACTCGCCAAGAAAGCAGTGTAGTGGGTTCAAATCCACCCAGGGCAGCTCTTGGGAAAGAGCTGTCATGGGTAGATAGTTGAGTTTGTTGCTTGCCCTTGACTCTACCTCGTTACCTCGTTGACACATTCGCTACAACTACTTTGTGTGTCTTTTCTTGTTGGTCTGCAGCTACAGGCCACAAGGTGCACTAGTAACTGCTTCTTAACTATGGGAGCAAGTAAATGAAAAGGCGATATTCCTAAAATGGCTGTGTTATGGTGTGAAAAGGGGGGAAACCAATGCATGATCAGCAGCACAATTATCTAAACCCCTCTATTGCACAGCTCTATAAATTTATTATGGAAAGCTGTGGAATGGATCATTGGTGCATGTTGTTAATGATGTTTACTTAAGGGACCCTTTCTAGATGACACCACATACAATAACTCTGTGATATTCTGCAGGTGTCAGTATCTCCAAGGCAGTAGTAGAGACTGAGCCAGGGCAGTTAGAATCCACTCAGGCTCCTCCCAGTGTTCATCAAGAATGTGAAACTGCTACTAATACTGCTAGACCAAACGAGCCTGCTGACGATACTTCATCTCCTAACACAGCCTATACACTGACAATTGACAATACTCAAGATGTTTTTGAGATGATGTATGAAGCACGAGAGAAGTGGCGTAACATTGGGGGAGTCTTCCGTCTTTCTGAGTCAACTCTGAAAAATATTGATTCCGAGAACAGAAACAATGATGACAAGCTACGTAAGGTCATCATTGAATGGCTCAATAGATACGGTAGAACTGGAAATTGCACTTGGACCACTGTGGCCATGTCACTGAGAAATAAAACTGTGGCTCGAGAAGATGTTGCTCGTGAGGTGTTAGAGCAGCATCCCCAGCCATGGAGTGTTCCTCCTCCCTCCCTTCCTCCTCCACACTCTTCCCCTGACTCAGGATCTGGAGCTACTCCGAAATCCGCTACCTCCCACCCTCAAGCAGGTGCAATGTAGATCTGTGCAAAGCAAATGTGTTTCACTTTAGCGTTAGCTACATTGCTTGTTGGTAGTCAATTCAGGCACTTTGGCAATATACCTTGGGAGTTAGCTAGTTTCTGTTAAAATAGTAGTGAGTAATGACTTTACCATACCTAGCTGTTTTCTATTCGCACTTTTTCTTCACTAAAGCCTTGGCGCAAAACCAGTGCTATTACTGAAGTGATATTTTAGCATGTGGCTAAAAGCTTGTGCTTTTCACATATTAAATATTAACTTTCTATAAATTGTTGGAAATAGTTACCAGCAGGAATCGAACTCGCAATAGTGGTTTCTTTACTTACGCTCATGTGTGTGTGTCCGTCCAAGCTCATGCATGCGCGTAGTGTTCCAGCTATGACAAAACACGTGTATTAGTTCACTGGGTCGGTCACCACAGCAGGGCTTCAGCAAACAACTACTCTAATGTGAAGCAACAAATACTGCTAATTTCTGTCGCCTTTCTTTTTAACACTCGGCATGCATGTACAGTGAGAGTTGTTGGGAGTCTGTCCCTCTATCTGTGCGTCCGCACTTGTTGCTTTTCGCACTATGACGTGCAAAATAGAATACAAGCGTATCATGCCATTTTTTTTCTAAAACCACCTACTAGAGAAATGAAAGCACTAAAGTGCAAACCCTTGGCGAAGTAGCTCGCACAGTGTCTGACACGGGCTAGCTACAGTAGTAGATAGCATGCGAGAGTCGATACACGCCATTCGTTCTGACTTCTTGTGCCTTCAAGATAGACAGAGCAAGCGGACCAGGTTGAGGTAAGCCTGTGCTAAATATAAGCGCATGCGCATTATCCGCCAGCGATAAAATGGCGACTACCAGCCATACAATGCTGGAAGCGCTCTAGCTTTGCAACGGAGCATTTTCAGAGAAAACCCCACATATTTTCTGACCTTCGTCGCCCGTTGGGTAGATGGTATCGTTTCTGGGACGAACAGACGTTCGAGGAGTGAGATATAGAGTAACAGACAAACAGACAGACAGACAGACCCAACTACTGTACCCTCGCTGCGCATGCGCGCCGAGGGTAATAAGTACCTGAGCCTTTGATGGCATAGACCCACAGTTAAGCAATGCGAGTAACTATGAATTCCTTATAGCATGAGTAGTTAAAAGTAGATATTGAGCAAATTGTAAGGTATAATTGCATATGTTTTTTCTGCTCCAGACTCTTCATTTAGCTCTCCAGATGAAGGTGGTAAAGGCCAGGAAACCTCTGAGATAGGAAACGACACAGTTGGTGAGTAATATGAATGGTTGGAACAATCCGTGTCTGCCGAGAGATGGGTGAGAGGGAGGAGGTACTGTAGCTAGCCCGTGTCAGGCTCTCCACAAGCTACTAGCAGCAGACCACGAGTAAACGCATACAAATAGCCCAGCCCATCAATTAGCAGTATCGCTCATGCGCAGTTCGCCGAGGGTTTGTACTTTAGTACTTTACATAATGAATTGGTACCTGTTCTTCCACCCCCCCTTCTCCTCTTGTCATACCTTCTTTCAAATCTTTTTCACCGCTGCCGACGCAGATTATATCAGCAGTATTTAAACCTTGCCCAGTTACTAAGCATTTAGCTATAACCCGTAGGCAATACATTTCTGCTTAAGACTGAAATAATAACTATGTGTACCTTACTAACCAAGAGTGTCACA